AAATAGGGGGGGTGGCAGCCGGGGCGCCGCTGGCCTTGCCAAGGGCAACCCTGCCAAGCAAAGCGAGAGCAGAGGAAGGCTCTGCCTCGGGGCTGCTTGTGACTCCTCGTTTTGGCCTTTGCCCGTTGGTTTTAGGAGGTGGGGGGGTAAACGGGTGCTGTTTGCGCTCCCCAATGGGCAGCAGGGACATCGCACCTCCCCAGCTCTGGCGAGGAGTTTGGTCACGAATCACCATAATGGAAATGTTGTAAGATCCTGTAACAAATACTTGAACCAAAGTGCCCCGCGCTTTGATAAATTAATTGCATAATTATAGAGTTGTTCTGTTAGTATCTTGGCCTGGTGCCTGTGCGGGGGTTGGGTGGGAGTGTATTTCGGTAACTTTTCCATTTGATTTCGGTTCTGCCCCAAAGCAGAAGAGGAAACTTGTGAAATCTCAGGCTTCCCAAGACAGGATTTCCCAAAGCCCCCCTACGCTGCTATGGGAAAAGAGGACATGACAACATAAAGACTGATCCTAGAGCTTTGTCAAGACGTAAAGACTCTCAGGCACACCATTGATTATTAACGGCACCTAGATGAAGATGTAGCTACCCCAGCTGTACACCCTGCCTCATAACACTACTGTACACAGAATGAGTTGTAAGTGTACCGCGATGCTGTTTCCTCTCTCTGCCTTGCCAGTCCGTTCATCCAGGAAGGTCCATCTAATCACCGTGCTGGTTTGGAGAAGGTGAGCTGTATCCCTGTATTTCCCTAACCTGAAAAATGGACTAATGAACCTGTCTATACCAGAACAGCTTTTGAGGCCAAAGCACTGCTTGTATAGATAATTTTAAAGATTTCCTTCTAGTAGACATGTAAAATACAGGTTCTGGGTTTGGGTTTTTTTGTTCTTTCTAAGTGGATATATGCTCAAAATATCCTTCCATACCAGCATAGCTATGACTGGATGTAGCATCAGCTGGCATAAATCCCTGGGTAGAAACTCAACTTTGGCAGGTAGATTTGATGAGAAAATAAAAGGGGATTCAGGTTTCTTTTGCTTTTAAACTTGCTGTTTGGCAAACAAGCCCTCCTGAACATAGGAAACTGCTTAGCAACTAAGTCTGGAGGGAATCAGGAGTTTGCTTGACATGCTTCAGTCTTCTTGTTACAAGCGTCAAGGTAGGCGAGCAGAGTCAGAGTTGCTTGTATGTGCACACCAAAACCATCTAGCTTCCTCCTGCCCGCAGACTCGTGTGATGAGCTCCTGCAGAACAGCGGCAGAGCGCACAGGAGTCAGGCTCCAGAGGTTAGCATTAGCGTCCAAACAGTTACAGCGTCTGCACTTCTCCTCACATACACTGGACGTAGCGTTCCTTTCCCACTCCTCCAGGACTGCCGGTCACGCTGCAACACACCAGTCTAATGAGCAAAGCACGAAAATCCAGCAAGACGATTAAGAGCAAATCAAAAAGAAGAAAAACCAAAAAAGCAACATGAGTAATCAAAGTGAAATGTGGCCCCAGCTCAAAGTAAAACACACAAAGAGCAAGGCTCTCCCAGGGGCAAATCCCAGAGCAGCCGGTTGGCTGCCAGCTTGGATTGCGGAGTCCTCCAGGGCTGGGGGTTTCAGCCATCGTTGCCTCTGAGGATACCAACGTGGTCTGCAAAGGCTCTGTGTTGCAATGCAGAGAATGCCTTTGTCTGGTAAATCAGTGATAGGAGAGCAGCGATTCCTGAGCACCACGCAGGGGGCCTAGCAGCTGACTGCATGGTTTCAGTCGTAAGTCATAATATTGCCTCTCTTCTTTCCTCCCTTGCCTGACTCTCCCCTTCCCCTGCCTCCCCTCAGACATTTAAAAGGCTCCTTGTGTATTAGTTACAGAAATTAAAAAATGCAACTTTAGGAAATTCCTGTGCCTTGTCAGCACCAGAGATTTGCTCAATTTCTCCCCTAAGACCCGAGTCATCAGTGTAGCTGCCAGAATACAAATTCCCACTGTACTGAAGTAAAGCTGTTTGCCTGAGTTTGCATGGCATGATTTGCCATGGTGCTGTTAGCCTTGGCTTCACGCAGGAGAAAACGACGTCTCTGGAAGAGGCAGCTTTTAGGGGGCTCAGAGATACATGAGCCCTACAAGAGCCTGTGCTGCTGCAGCTGCTCTGTGTAGGCAGCTTCAGGGATAAAAAGAAGCCATAGATGAATCTCTTCCTAAAGGCAGCCGAGGTCTTACTCCACTGCCAGCCTAAACCACCGGCTCGGCATAGGAATATTGGACCAATAAAACAAATGGGCTTCAATAAGTTGTGGTCACCAAGCAAGTTCCTGCGTATCAGCAAAGCTATTGTAGCTGTTCACACAAGCATGCCTCGTTACACCGGCAGTGAGGTGCTGTGACCCAGCTTCAACCTCGGTGAACGGGGGGCAGGCCAGCGTGCTTCATCTTGCAGTCAGGGTGAGCCCAGAGAAAGCCTGGGTGGCGAAGACAACTCAAGCGATAGGCAGGAATTTGTCACGCTGCCCTGCTGCCTGAGCCTTTTGGCCAGGAAAAGAAAATACAGTGTAGCAGATGGAGCTTCTCTAGATCCCGACAGCCCTTCTTCTCCCTGCTTCCCAGTCTACTCTGAGGCAAAATTAATTCAGAAGAATTCTTCCCCAGTGTTTCTTTAATTACTGAAGTTATTATTTGTATTGTGATAGCCTCCATGGATCCTCGCCACAGCCCAGCCACTCTTGTGCCAGGAGAATGCACACCACAAAGGTTTCAGAGACCATCAAGCACACACAGTAGAAACAAGAAACCTCAGTTGGCAACTAGGGCCGTATCTTGGTGGGCACTACCCACACACGTCGGCTAAGGAATAATGCAGCTCTCACATCGTTTATAGCTTTATTAAAATATGCTGGAAAGGAGCTGCCCTTGGAAGAAAGCAAAAGAAAGACTAGTTCCCTCCTCAAAGCAAGAGAGTTGCCTGCAATGAAGAGGGCAGTAAGGCCCACAGGCAGCATTCCTCAAAGGATGGGTGGCTCCTGAATCATTAAGTAGATTCTTCCAGACATTGTGAAATATTCATACCTTGAGGGAAGATTAGTTTTCTTTTTTGACAGTCATAAATAGGCTCTTCTCTGAACACATTCATGAAAAGAAGAGGAGCAGCTCTTTATTTGCTGACATTGTCTCTGTCTCTTGCCTTTTATTTAGATTACAAGTTCTGTACAGCAGAGACCATCTTTTGTCCTTTTTGCATGGTGTCACACATAAGGGGATATTGTCCATGACTAACACGGGAGGTTAATACAAATAACAACATTTCATGGCTAGGGGCATACAGAGGTTATCACTACCACAAACTGCAAACAAAACTGCAGTTAAAGCTCTGATGAGCTCAGATGAGCTCTAGCAAATCTTACTACGATGGTTTGAGATGCAACTGCAGAGCTCAAGAGCAATCCTCCTTGAATAGTAAGTCGTCACACTGAGTGCGGCAAAAGACCGACCCCCCTGAGCCAAACCTCCCAGAAGCCACTGACCCAAATTTCGTGAAAAGAATACTTGTCTCAAACTCAGTATGTCTTTAAAGAAGTGCTGGTAGAATTGAGATGAACCTCCATCCATCTCAAGCTAGCCGAGAAACCAGTTCAGCCAACTGTGACCACGAGGAAGCTGCATTTGCTAAATCCAGATCTGTCCTTGAGGCAGGTAAAACCAGGACTGAGCAAAGGCAAATGCAGGAACTAAAATGGCTCCTTACTCCTAAAGTGGAAAAGTGCTCCGGCACCCTCGTGCACTATGGAAGGAGGAGAGTAAACTGAAACCAGGGCAGTATTAACATGAGAGGGCAGAGGACAGCAGCTGAGCAGAACAGCAGCATCGGGCAAGAAACCAGGCAGGCAGAGGTGACTGGGGAGGTGGAGACAGCCAGAGCAGCAGCACTGCTCCACCCAGACGCCGAGTCCAGCAGGCAGGGAATCTCCTTCTGCTTTCTCATCTCT